GTTGCGGAATGGGGAGAAGTGCCTTGAAAGTTGTTCATCTGGGACACCCGTAATTGGGTGGAAAAAGTCTTCAAGGAAGATCTGTGGCGAACATGACAGAGTTTTCTGTAGACACCTGAGAGGATATGCTGGACGCCTATTTTGTACGATTTGTTTGTGAGTGTTGGGAACGAGATGTTGACTGTGAAGGTGTGAATTTGGGATCAGATGAGTGTCAGCCAATGACTATAGTTATATCATTTCACAAAGTCCGTGTTATTTTAGACCTGATGGTGTATGGAGGGAGTATGTAGTAACAACTTCTTCATTTATATTTTTCTGCTGCGTTCACGAAGTCTGGAAGAGGTGCTCAGGTACTATTCTAAGATCAGTTTGACGTTACAGAGGGGTAAGTGTTTTCTGTTTCCAGGGACAGATATATGCATGTGGAAAGATGCATGTTTAGAGATCTGATCCACAGATGTGAAAGTGATGAGGTAGCATATGCCTAAGTCCTAAACGCACGTAGGGTGGAGATAAGGTGTTGGCGGAGGCACTTGGTTACATGTCGATAGATCGTGCCCAAACATTTTTAGGAGACAAACATCTCAACAATGTGACTAGCAGCCGAGCACAGTTTCACCAGAGACGATACGAGAAATATACCAGAGGAGTGAATTTGGATGGAATGCGTTGACTGTCTCAATGTCACCAGCAAATAAGAAAGGTGAATAAGCGGGATATTTTTGGAAACGTCATTAATGTGAATTGATGTGCCCCGGATAATGACACCGGTGGCAGGCTTGGAACCCAAGAAATTGTCAGTCACTTAGTCAGAACCAGAATAAAAGACTTTCGGGTAAACTAGTTGCACGCACTTTCTGAATTGAACGTTGGAATGAGGTATGTGATTTGTTGGCGTCTGCAGCTGAGGAAACCGCGTTGGAGGTTTAGCTGTGGGTGTTTGCGAGACCTACCCCTATGGAAGCAGTATTGGTCTGTGCCGGTTTGAGCACTGGCTAGAGAAGAAACGGCAGCTTATTGCACCTGACTTTCAAGTACCTTGGAAATTTCGTGTGGTTGATAGGCCGGTGTGAGGAATATCGAGTGTGTTCTGTAAGTGAGAGATACTGGATCCTAATAAGTCTAAACCTATTGACTTCTGATGGTGCCAGGAGTATATGATCTGCCGTTCTGCAGACATGCTGTGGATGTTTTGGTTCGGTGCGTCAACTAAGACGGTTTTTGTCTCCTTTTCATCTCAGGGTTGTCCACAATCGTGTATTATTTACCTGCACACAGAATGCATGGCTGAGTCTAAAGCGCTTTTCGGCATGTGAAAACCTCTGGTTGTCATCCCATACATCACATGACTCATGAGGCTTCGTTTCCGCCAACTGGTGGTGGTCACTTGTCTTCGTCTCAATACCTTCGCTTCATTTGGTGGGCGGACTTTCTTCTACCTTTATTCACGCTACTCGTGAGTAGCGTAGAACCCAAGTCATTACTGGCTTCACGCTTTGCTTGGTTAAACATTCACAGGCCCCTATATGCAGCCGATAGTATGCACACGTTTCATTGTCATTCGAATAAGTCGTCATATGCACCTGCTAATTTCATTCGTCGTTCTGGCATTTGGGACGAATTTCACTTCATTAATAGCCGTGTTTGAGCATTGAAGTGAAGCATTTACTGTGCAAGTCTATTTTTCGCTCACCTAAGTGCAGAGTTGGGACAATTCAGTAGTACAGAAGGGTGTGATAGTCCTGACGAAAAAACGTAACTGTGTCGGTTTTGCTGAATGAGGGTTACAAAACAAGATACATCATTCGTCAGGAAAATGAAAGAAAGATGGCTTGGTGACGCCGTAAATCGTGTTTCCATATTAAAGCTAACCCTTTCATTGCACCACCCTCTCCCCATTTTTCCATAAGACTCGAACGATTCAACACCTAAGAACTAGCCAAACCATCGGCTCAGTTACCTTGCTTTCCATTCCTCATTTTCCATATCCTTGTTTAATGAATTCATAACCACAACCAATATACATTTGATGCACAGTTTATAACTGTCAAGTTTATACACAGCAAAGTGACAAGCGTTGTGTTCCGTAAGTGAAAGATACTGGATCCTAATAAGTCTAAACCTATTGACTTCTGATGGTGCCAGGAGTATATGATCTGCCGTTCTGCAGACATGCTGCGGATGTTTTGGTTCGGTGCGTCAACTAAGACGGTTTTTGTCTCCTTTTCATCTCAGGGTTGTCCACAATCGTGTATTATTTACCTGCACACAGAATGCATGGCTGAGTCTAAAGCGCTTTTCGGCATGTGAAAACCTCTGGTTGTCATCCCATACATCACATGACTCATGAGGCTTCGTTTCCGCCAACTGGTGGTGGTGACTCCGATTGAAAGAATGAGGCTTCGTTTCCGCCAACTGGTGGTGGTCACTTGTCTTCGTCTCAATACCTTCGCTTCATTTGGTGGGCGGACTTTCTTCTACCTTTATTCACGCTACTCGTGAGTAGCGTAGAACCCAAGTCATTACTGGCTTCACGCTTTGCTTGATCAAACATTCACAGGCCCCTATATGCAGCCGATAGTATGCACACGTTTCATTGTCATTCGAATAAGTCGTCATATGCACCTGCTAATTTCATTCGTCGTTCTGGCATTTGGGACGAATTTCACTTCATTAATAGCCGTGTTTGAGCATTGAAGTGAAGCATTTACTGTGCAAGTCTATTTTTCGCTCACCTAAGTGCAGAGTTGGGACAATTCAGTGGTGCAGAAGGGTGTGATAGTCCTGACGAAAAAACGTAACTGTGTCGGTTTTGCTGAATGAGGGTTACAAAACAAGATACATCATTCGTCAGGAAAATGAAAGAAAGATGGCTTGGTGACGCCGTAAATCGTGTTTCCATAGTAAAGCTAACCCTTTCATTGTACCACCCTCTCCCCATCTTTCCATAAGACTCGAACGATTCAGCACCAAAGAACTAGCCAAACCATCGGCTCGGTTATCTTGCTTTCCACTCCTCATTTTCCATATCCTTGGTTAATGAATTCATAACCACAACCAATATACATTTGATGCACAGTTTATAACTGTCAAGTTTATACATAGCAAAGTGACAAGCGTATGCCGGTACTTTCCCTGTTGAACTCTTATTAACCGTAGTGTCTCGTGGTGCCTTAGAACCTTTAACTTATTTGCGCACGTGATGTCCATCTTTTACACATTCAATCATCGAAGTTCTAACCCAATAACCCCTCCTTTTCTCATTGATAGAGATAGCTTACCTCGTGAAGATATTTCCCTTGCCTCCGAAACACTACCGATGTGGTTTGCAAACCATTTACATCGTTATCAGAAGAGTCGCTCAGTGCAGGGAAATTTTTATACCCCCGGGGATTGGGTTAACTAGGATTCTATCCTGCAAGGCCCATCAACCAATGTTGAAAACCAGAGCGGATCTACACCGGTTTTTCCTGTTTGTTGAGAAACGCCAAACGTGCGTATCCGACTTGTCTATAGAGGAGTATTTTCTCGTGATATCGGGACGGTTGTCAACTATCTTGCTTATGTTGTTATCAAGCTATTCACTGCAAAAATCTTCCATCTCAGTAATCCGACCGTATGGTAGAGATTTCCTCCTGGAACACATGATGATAGGGTTATTTCTTCTATTCAGCCACTTGTTGTTTTCACTGCGTGAGACCATTTCCACGGATGGGCAGATGCGCTTTTTATTCAGTGCCATTTCCAAAGTGTTTTCTATGAACGATTGACAGATCGCCACGGACGAGGTTATGGTTTCGGAATAATAAGTTTTGACCAGTAAGCGTGGAGTAGCTTATACTCTATTTATGGATGCAGTTGTTTAGAAACTATTTCATGTGTATCAGGGCTGGGCTCAAGAAGAGTTGTGTTTTTATTGTTTCCAAAGATTTGCTGGGTTTTTGCGGCGAGTATATTGTTGTTTATGGATGGATCTTTCGAAAAAAACAGTAGTTCCATCGGGAACACCGACAGTTACGGATCTGTTATTGGTTCCACGTGTTTAGACCGCCAAAGCAGCAAATTTATGGTTGATCTTCACATCGATGCCTATTTTGATCAGGCGATTAGAGCATGAGCTTTCGTTTCCTACGGGTCTTTCAGTTCGAATATTGACTCTCGGAAAATCACTTGAGATTTATTCTAACTCGATTGCGCGCGTTGCTTTGAGATTATCCATCCGGCTTCACAAACCTGACATTAGTTTGCAAAACCAATTCGCACGGACACTAAAGTTCAACCGGCGGGCAAAGTCGCTAATCAAGGCAGAGCCCCGGTCATGTGAGGATTGACACTGACCCTTTCTTTGATTTTTGAATAGTGAATATTGCACAACTCTTTGTGAACTTTTATGTTCTAGTTTCCCAAACGAGCTCACTTGCTTACTATGTTCATATACGTTGTATTGCGAAATTCCTGAGTTTCCTACGCAGAAAACAGCACTTGTTTACTATCTTATTTTGATAACATCCCCATGTATTTTTAAGCGTCCACAATGATATGGTTGATACTGACTCTGACCTCGAACCAAGCTCTCATCCATCCCAGGTGAATAGGTGGTTCAAAATCATTCGTAAGTCTTGAGATGAATTTGCACTTGTTGGCAAAATACGTAGCTTCATGGTCATGAAGTTACTATCGTCAGATCCCGCGTACTCTGCTGGAGCCAAGGGATACTTTCCAACTAAAATAATGAGATAGTTGTCATAATGCTAAAATTTCTTACATCTTTTACACGGGGAAGGGTGTTCGCAGAAACTACCAAGTGCATATTCTTAAAGCAACTCAAATCTACTGTGGCACGGTTAACCACATGGGCTACTTTTTTAGTGGATGTTTTATGGTACATGGTGGTCAGTCCAACCGCGGTTGATAGTCTATTTTCTGATTCTCACAATCTTAGAAGATTCGAAGCATGATTATGCGCTCAGCTGCTCTCTTTCTCTGGTCTTCCTAAGGTTGTCTTCGGAGTATCCACAACTTGGTGATCCAGAAGGATCGCTGCGTCGTACAAGGTTAACCGAGATTACAGCACTTCCTGCTACTCTTGGTGGTAGCACTCCTCAGTGGCGTCCGGATCGACCCGCTTTTGTTGTGAGTAGCTGCAGTTGGACTCCGGATGATGATTTCAGTCTCGTTGTGGATGCCCTCGATTGTTATGACAAAAGCGCAGCTCTACCGCACTCTTTTCTGCCAAACATTCTGTTTGCAGTAACTGGTGAGTTCTGTTTGAATCAGGCGGAGTTCTCTCGAAGCTATTAGTACACTTCCGTGCAAACCCACATCTCTCCTTGACGATACGGGAATCTAGTTTTTATTTCACTCAGGTTATATCAATAGTTCCCCGAAAATTTTCAGGCCAAGTGAAATAGTGCTTTGAAATGCAGCTCTGTTATTTGAGCTTTCTGGGGCGTTCAGATTTTCTTGGGGGACTTATCTCATCAGCGTTTGGACGGGAATTGTTCCCTAACACACACTAGACACAGCTAGGCACCACGTTTTGGCCCAGTGAATTTAAGCTGCGTACATTTTGAGGCACAGCCAAGAAAACTTCCTGTTAGAGAATTGGGAATTCTCTTTCTGACGCGTCACCCAACAGTTTGTTGGTCGTGGCTGCAACGACACCCCATCTTTCGCTCGTAAGGCCAAAACAACTTTTAGACATCATTCGCCGGTTCTACAGTACACCTATATTTCTCCCACCGATGATATACACCCTTTCTACCTGCCAAAAAAACGCGCTGTTTCACAGTTAATTGAGAAGAACCGGATATCAGTTTGTCTACTCGGATTCAGACCGCTCTGATGGAAGAAGGATTCGTAATCACCTATAATTAGTCAGTCGCCAGTGATTGCGTTTGTCAGAAATAACGTCTATGTGTTTGACCCCTTATCTGTTTGGCGGTTTCAACGCCCTCTGGAACGGACACCCACATAAGTCAGTCTTCAAGTCCTGGTTTTGTCTCTTATGTAGTACCAATCAGCATAGCAACGAGGAGTGCGGTAAAAACTCACCTCGTAGTTGGCAGTACACGGTACTATCCTCAAATATGTCAATCTTAAGCTTGCTTAATCCGCAATTCCTGAAGTGCAGTAGTCACATTCTCCCGATGGTGCCGCGTTTCTGCAGAGACATACTTTTATTTTTGATACACCTTGATTGATGAATAATTCTTTGAGGCTACACTGTTTTTTTCATCTTGTTCCATCTGGACTTTAAATATAACGGTTTTGTTTCAACCGACTTTTATTTACTCAGTAACTCTTAAATTAGATTTTTTATCATTGGATTTGTTATGTTTTTTTCCTGTAACGACTGTAGAAAACCTAGTCCACTTCTCAACAATTTAGAATTAATAAGCGACACGCTTTCCATATCTTATTCGAACTTTGGACGGTCAGGTGATTGCTGCCAGCACTTGTCGGTCTGCAGTGCATGGCTGTGTTCACCTTGCGTTTGTCTTGTTTCTCAGCTCTCTGTTGTGTGAAGTGTTTACGCAAATGGTTCTGAATGAGAATTTCAGCTCCTATTCGATCGAGATGCCACGTGCTTCTTGAAACGAAACAGTCAGTGCGTCGGGATGAACCTACTCCATATCCACACTGACGCAAATAGTTCTGAATGGGAATTTCAACTCCGATTCGATCGAGATGCCACATGCTTCTCGAAACGAAACAGTCAGTGTGTCGGGATGAACCTACTCCATATCCACACTGTTCTGTTGTTCAAACGGGCCTAAGATAGTCTTTGATGTGCACCAGCTCGAAATATTACTTACAAGCTGCGTCTCTGTTACTGGTTCGATAATTCGCACATGATTTCCTTGATCGCAAACCTTTGCTTACCAGTGCCTGTCAATTTTCTAGCTCGGATCCAACCCTGGTTTTCGTTCATTCTTGTCTGGGCTTGGGTACTCTGCTATATTTCTGAGTTCTCGTGCTTCCTTCGAAATGCACAGTGGCTATGCACCGAAATGATGCCACGGTTGAACCCGTCATGATTGTTCATTACGGTTCATTGAGCGTCCAGTTCATTTCTTCCTCTCGCAACTCTAAACTCCAGTATTAAATTGGTACAAATTTCAGTACATATCTTGGAAAAGTTGCTTACTGGCTGCCAGTATTCTCTCATAGTAACATGAGTGTTTTAAAATGATATCGTTACTCGCATACCATTGACTGATGGTCATAACAGTTCTTGTCTTTTTGCTGCTATGGTTACTTTAAAAGGCTACTTTAAAAAGATTTCTATGTGACACACTAGTTCGTACGGTCGAACTTTCCCCGCAACTGTCAGGGGCTGACATCCCTATACGAACTCTTTTCTGTAACCACTATTTCACAATAGTGTGCTTCTCAAAGGTCATCAATCTGCTACCCCGTTTCAGAAAGCGATCTTTCACCTACTTTCTCACAGCCCACTTTGATGGTGACTGTAGTAATTCTAGAAAACTATAATCATTTACATGACTTGCAGCTTATGGTCGTTTTTGTGCTAGAACGAGAAGCAGTTAGCTGCGCAACGCATCGTGATACTTAATTGGTTCGTCCGCATTGACACTAGTGCAGCGCCGGGTGCACACCAATGGCCGTTGAACGTCGTGGGGTTATCACTGTCGTTACCACTAGTGGTAGCATGACAGTCGCCGTCATCGCCATTACCGTTGTCACCACTCATCATCATCGAAAGTGACACCGCCGCCTCACTGGCATCCGCGGTAACGTTCGTTACTGCGTGACTCATTTAATAACTGTAGTTCTCGGGCGTTTGATTTCACTACTTCGTCGAAAAATATGTGACTCATCTGTCCTCCCCATGTTTAACGTGTCTTCACTTGGCACCGTCCGGTTCCAGTCTTTGAAAACATTTGGTCTCCGAAAACGTAGGCAAGTATTTGTTGTTCATCCGCCCGTGAGTGCATCTAAACTTATAGCTGCTTATTATCAAAGTTCTGTAGGCTTATGCTGGATGTTTAATGCCCAAATCATGTTACGTGCCTAATATTGATAGTTTGAAAAAAATCACTTCTTTATTTCCAGAACTGCTGCTATCCAAGCCTCTGTCCTCCAGGAGTCATACAACAGAGCTTCTGTATGGAACACTATTTAAACGTCTGAGATGTGCTTCCATACTTTCGTACTCTCAGAGGCATTCTTGATCAGTTCGTTGCGGTGTGGTTTGCAAAAATGTTTACTACTTAGCGAAATACACTCGACGAATTTTCAGAAGCCTTATGAGTAGTGCATTACGAATGGTTACCACTTTTTTCCTGTAGCCCCTCTACCTGACCGTTCGTTCCCTATCGTTTTCTTAAAAGTCAGACACCCAATATAGGGTTGCATGGTACTTATATGTGGTAGAATATGCAGAGTAATCACTGCGCTTGGTTTGGCCTCCCGTGCACTTCATTTCATAGCTTGCACTGTTTGGAATCAGTTGTTGTGGCATTTGGTGTGGACCTGTAGGTATGTTTGAGACTTTCTTAAACCAGCCGTTCTTCGTAACCTGTGTGCCATGAGAATTGCATACATTCTGCTCATTGATCCGTTTTCGATCTGCTGGATTCGTTAGTCTGTCGACGAATATTCGTTTTCACAGCGACTTGGAGCTAGGCGTATAATTCCTGCACCTTGTTCATTGATTCGAAGATAATATACTTCAGTTTAACTGGTTTGGCGTCTTCCTGATTAAAATAGCCGTTGGGTTGCCATAACATTTCTCATTGAAATGAGAATAGTGAGGCGCACAACAAATAGTACACACGATAATTTTAATGAGCCTTTTACTTTAAAAAGCACGATGTTGACGTTGGACCAACCCACCAGGTCGAACCCCCCACTTAGGGAAATCTATACCAATTGTCAACGGAAATTATAACCATTTATACAATGCCAAAATAACTATCGCGTGATGACTTTAGCTGATGAATTTCCGCCGTTCCATCTTATATTTCACACCCTGTGTATTATCCAGAGTGGGTGCCCCCCCCCCAGTTTCGTCCAAATATATCGAAACACTATATATATATATATATATATATATATATATATATATAGTGTTTCGATATATTTGGACGAAACTGGGGGGGGGGCACCCACTCTGGATAATACACAGGGTG